GTGTAAGGAGGAGGGAGAGGGGTATGGTGTAAGGAGGAGGACGAGGGAGAGGGATATGGTGTATGAGGATTAGCAGAACATACAACATAAGCTGATAATACTGCAGTACTAACCGAGTTATAATTTTGCACTTCATAACATATAATACAAAACACATGAAAAGAGTATTAAACAAGTATTAATAATCTATTGACGTCATCGACACCTTGGTGACACGCGGGGACGTGTATCATGTTTAAGCGGTTGTTGACATTTTGTTTTGGTTTGTGATAACACGATTACACTCCCTGTCCTCAATGATCAGGTCTTGACAGCAGTGTAGAATGGGTATTTTATTGTAATGTTGTTCGCTAATAGCAAAAAATTAATAATACGAGACACGTAAACACCATAATATACGTCAACATGACACAAGGTTTGACAATACATCCACGCATTATCCGAAAACCTTTTCATTTTCCTAAATCGATGGAGATAGATATATGAGGACATGTTTGTCGATGATATGGATCCAACCGTTTGAAAACTTCTACCATCACTGCCTTCATGATGATATGATATGATATCATGATACATTCCATCAAAGATGTATTTTTCGTAATTTTGACGAATCGGGGAGGCGCGCTTTGTAGTCACTGCATTGAAATTCGCTGATTTGACAAATTGGTTTTCCTTCAAATTTTTTATGAGCACGTGTCGGGTACTCTCTTTTTTGGCAAAAAACCCAGTTTCGTAAGCGAATTTCACTAAAAAAAAAACAGCATAAAATGACCGAATATCACCTAAGACAGCCCTTTCAAAATGACGTTGTGTAGTCAAGGGTAACGTTAAATTAATTACTGGTCATTAAAGAACGTGCTATTATTATCGAACTATTCAATAAGGTTTATTAAGGTTGGAATTTAAAAAAAAAATCTTTTCCGTTAAAAATACAGTGAACAGAAAATTGAATGGTGTCATACCGCACTAATGAAAAAATATTGAGAGACCGTTACACCCTTGAAATATGTGATATTAAACGGAAATATGTGTTATTAAACGGAAAATCATTGAACTCTAATTCTCATGTATATTGTACATATATACAAATCCCTACAGGCAGACACCCTACCATTATGTAATGGAAAATTCATATTGTTAACGGCACAAAAACCAAGCTGCACATTTGGCGTGTTATAACCAGCTTTGAAATAATCACATGTTAGAAAATCACGTTGAGTTGGTTTCGCGAATTTTTATACGGTTTTAACGAAACAAAATTGAGTTGAACATGTAACGAATCAAACACTGCTTGAATGGTTTTTTTCGAAGTTGGTGATGACATATGCGGGCGTCGTTAGAAATTAAATAACAATATATGATGTCACGCCAAGAATATAAAACACGTAAAGCCCAACACTGAAGTAATATGAAACACTGCAACAATGTATGGTGATAGCAACTCTCGCGATAAGAATTAGATCAACTTTAGGGAGTGATGACGTCATTAACACCACGTGTTAGGTCTATTTTCACACAGGAAGACTAATTAATGAGGAGATGTTTACGTGTTCCATACTTATGTACATATATACAAACAAATATGTAGACACCTGGACATTTTGTGCCAACCCGAACTCCGAAAATTTTAAAAAAAAATTGTGTCATTGACATGGCTTGATCGTGTAACAATTCAGTTACATTAAAATGTGCCCAGTATCCTGCTTGAAATGTTTTAAATCGAAACATTAAAGTTAAAAAATATATTTTGATTTATCTATGTTGATTTTTTCACACGTGATGCCTTAAGGATAAACAAAGTGTCCTGTAAAATAAACTTTCGGTTACGATTCTCATTTAAATCATTTCGATTTTCCCATTAATTTGGTTGTCGTACCGATACCCAATAATCCTTTGGATCAAAAGAGTTTAACCTATATTGGCTGACGTTTGTACTGAATACGTTACCTAAAACTTTGATATAATTGTAACTTTTTACTAAATAAAGTTTCAACAATCATAACACATGTCTTCTCCATATCTTCTATATAGAAACATCAAAGGATATAACATCATTTAGGAAATTCAAATTTTAATTAAATACCAAAAATCAGATTACAAACTGAATTTTAAAACTGGGAGGTATATTAATATCGAAAGGAACAATAGAATCTTTACTTTATGTAACAGTGGTGGCTTACAAGATGAATTTCATCTTATAGTTAAATGTGAAAGATATACGGATTTAAGGAAAAGTTTCATTAAGAAATATTATTGTATTAGACTCAGTTTATTAAAATTGATCCAACTTATGAAAACCGTGAACAGAAAAGAATTATCGAAGTTATCACAAGTTATCATTATGATTAACAAGAAAAGAAATGAGGTAATTGTACATGGGTAACATGTTGAATTCTCTCTACACTGTGCTAATTGATGGTTTGTGTGTTGGATGAGAAAGTTTGTGTTCCATCGTTGTTTACACCTGTATATGTTGTATATCATTATGAACTGATGAACC